ACCACTTGGGCTGGACGGTAGAGCAACAGTCTCACTTCATGCAGGTCGGCGTTCAATCCCCAACCGTCCAAGTGGTTGGGCACCATTTCTTTCCCACCATCCCACCCCAAATCCTTATCATGATCCTGCTATATAGTCTTAATGGCTTGGGGCATTCTCCTGATAGTTCCCTTCCCTTTCAGTCAAGGTCAAAAACAAGGCAAACAAGTACTGATAAAGCCATAATATTTGAAGACTAAAGGTAGGCACCACTGACCCAAATATACTGTAGCTTGAAGAAACATCGTCTATACCCAACAATGCTCAAGAACATAATTTAAATGGTAAAGCTCTACATCAAACTACCTTATTATTATTAAGTGACAAACTGAATACATCCGGTCTGATCTGTGATTGTGTAAGGTAATGACAACAGGAACAATTCCAACTAATTTAGTTGTATTGAAGTTAGTCTGCAACCAAGAAATGCAAGTTCAAAACTTGCCATTATGTACTTGTGTAAAATTATATATTTTACCATATTTGCACGAATATAAGCAGCACCTTTCTTCAAGCAAAATAATACTAAATTTTGTTAGTGTGGTTTTCGATAGAATACTAAATTAATGAAAATTCAATACATGGGCTCTCCCACTACCCATCAATGTCTCCCACTACAAAAATTTTAATCATGATTTCAATCACCACAAATCAACTCGGTCAAATCGACATCAATCTGGGTTCAATAATGATCATAATGTAAGAGCACGATAATCCAATTCCAGCAACCCGATCGTGACAAGCCTAATGAATCATGCACGTGTCAGTAAATAACAAGAGTAACCAGGTTGTGGAACAAGAAGACTGAATATATTAATTTTTGGACATTCTTGATAAGAAATTCATTAAACTCAAATATGCATGGGGCTCATATGATTTGGATTACGGATCATAGATAGTATGTATGTAACTAGACAAAGTAACTGGCAGTACCCGGCTCTACCCCAAAGGTTGCACGCCGTCTAAGTGTTGGAAGCTCCCAGAATTCAAATCTGCCATTAGAACTTGGCTTTTAGAGGTCACTACTGTATCTGAATTATCAACATTATGGTCAGATTTTGGCACCAAATTATTTGCCAGTGATTGCTCTACATTATGCGAGTCAAAACAAATACTATGCTTTTTTGGGGTTTTTATATAATGTTCAAAGGAAGGTTAGTGATACTGAATTTGCCCTTACCTAAATGTGCTCGAGGGTTATTATGTATGTAGTCATTTCATTACACTACTCTCCTTATTAAAGTAACCACACAGTGCATGATCTCCCAACAAGAAAATATGTCCTGAGGACTGCCAGGGGCATGAGAGATTAAACAAAATCCCCCATGTAATGAGTTGGCTTCACCCAATAGTTCATTCATGCAAGTTAAAATTGTTTAGAGAGTACATGGAAAAAAACTAAGTTTATAAAAAACTTTTTATATTTAATAAAAATCCCCTTACCAACCATGGGTTTCTTATCATATGTTTGGCTGTACCAGACTTCTCAATAAGTACAAAATGGTTATTATTATTTTAACCCCTGTACTGTGCATAGCACCTTAAAGTGTTTTAGGTATAGGGAACGATTCAACTCCCGTGGATACACTGGGCTCACATTTTGTGCCTCAGGGCTCCAATAAACAGACGCCATCTTGAAAAAAATTGTCTGCATTCCTCCTGACCGAGAGCCTCAGTACTTAGAGAGCGACCAACACTGGAGCATGCAGCAAGAGCTCACAGCATTCCTGTGTAGCTAGGAGCCACAACACCACTTATTAATAATGAACAAAATAAATAATTGCAATTATTTTGTGATTCTAGTGTCCTGGATGATCTTGATTGTGATTAAAACCATGTACAACATTCTGATATCGAACACAATGCTGGTTATGATGTTCACAGCGTGAGGCAGACAGTCACAGCACCCGGCAATTGTTTTGTGGATCTATGCATCGTTGAAATAACCTTTGTCCCTTTACGATATAACCATATGGAAATTAATTCATGTTCAGGGTTTAGTGATAGCAATATGATAATAGCAGTTCTGTGGCTAGTCTTAGCAATGTGCACACTATATTGCAAGCATTTTCTTACATCAGGTGACATCTGATGGCATCATTTGCTCATATCATGTAACTATGCTGTGTTGATTTTATCACCACACCCACCAGAACTGCCTATGGGTTTGTTATGGTACATAACAATGTTGATAGATATAAATGATGCATGTATTTAGTATAATAGCAAAAAGCCATGTTTTTTGTTCAAAGAATATTTGAATTCATTAGTATGTGACAAATACTGTATCTGTGAGATCCAGTATTCTACACGTTCTTGTGATACAAATAGCAGCATTGACACCCCAATGCATTTTAAAAACCACGGTAAAAACATTTACAATACGAAGAAAATACAATATATTCAATGCGTGCTGTTACAACTTCATGTAAATAATGCAGGACTAAGCTGAACTCTGATAACTGATTAGAAGGTTATTACACTCAAAGGAAATGCTTAGTGGTTCATAATGGTGCATAAAAATGTAGTTATATATTTATACTACAGTTAAAAATGTAAAAATAATATTACAACAAAAAACTAGAGGAATAAACATTGGGACATTGATATAATTATTTAATACAGTATTATATTCACAGCAACTCATGTCCAACAGGGTACCCGAGGCAAGTGCCGCCGAGTACTGCTTCACTCGGTGCATAAATTGCTCAACCCTCCTGCTCCATGGCCAAAATGTGTGTTTTTTTTGTTTTGTTTTTAATTTCCTGTGATCTAGGAATGCATTTTAACAATATTGTATTAGAACAAAATTTATAGAATAAATTTTTTTATTAATTTTTTTTATTTCACTGGAGTAATTAAATATCCGTTTTATTTTACAGCATAATTAAATTAGTCAAGTTAATTTCACCGCAGTGCGGTAGTTAATAGGAATAAATGTACTTTTTCTATATTTGCCCATTTTTTTTTTTAAATTTGCATGAGTTTTTAACAATTTAAATATTCATGCCAGGGAGGAGATTAGAGGCTAGCCGCGTCCTAATGTTTTACAAGTTAAATTTTAGAATAAAACTTCATATTGGAAAAAAACTAGCAAATTGACTTACAAATATATATTCATTTAAAAAACTAATATTGTAACTGTACTAATGCGAGATGAAACAAATCCTTTACTAATATCATGAACATAAATATTTTCTTATTTTCATCACCTACAAATATTGTGAATTTAGGCAAATAAATAATTTCAGTACTAGCACAACATTAAAATTTGTAATGTTACTGAATTTTAGATTAAAAAAGAAATAGTTATAGGCAGTTATTTTATTATAATCCTTGGTTTGTTATTGGAACAAGCCACAATGAACATTTGAAATTTCAATACACGATACATTTTTTTTTCTACCTAACAATATACCTGTATTGTATATGACAACTCCATTGCCTACTTGGTACATTATTCACTGCACCACTGTTAATACCATGCAACACCCAGGTGTGCATATACCGGGTAATAATAATAATAAAAATTGGAGAATAAAAAAATCCTTCTAATATTGTCAAAATTTATTCCCTGATCACGGGAAAAATAGCAAAAATATTGTATGCGACTTACTTTGGCCATGGAGAAGCCTGAAAGTCTCGTTATTACATGATGATTAATGTGTGCTCATCGAGCAATCACCCCAGGGTGGTCGTCCCTGGCCAGCAATCGGGCAGGAGTTGCCACTAATATATATTTGATATACTGTATTTATATCAATGTTCCCGATTAGTTTCTTCTCTGTTTTTGCAGTAATGTTATCCAGTAGTGTCTTAGAAATTTATATAATGTGTGGAACATCAGATTGCTCAAATTGTGTGACTAAATTGAGTCAATATTATTTGACTTTAATACAACACTATTTTTGGTGTTATTATAATCAATGTTGCCATTATCATCAGCATCCCAGTCATTAAATACTGAATGAGTCATTTCTGGACAAGGTTATTTTTTAAAGGAGCATGAGGTCATTTCAAGAGCAATAGCTTATCTGCGTCATACTGAACATCATAATCATCATTGTGTTCACTTACAGTATATCTGAACACTGTACAGTCTTTATTTCCATCAGGATCTATGATACTATCAAAAAATAGCAGTTGCTTACATATGTTGTCATTTGTAAGTGATGTTGTGGTCACAAGCTTAACAGTGCTGTTAGCTCATGCTGTGTGTGCAAACCTTGGTTGCTCACTCAGTACCGAGGCCTTCACACCCAGGAATGGTGTCCAGGATTTTTTTCAACTTGGCATTTTACTGAAGGACTGAGAAAGCTGATGTGAGCCACAACACGTTTAAATGTTACGCAGTACTCTAAATCATATATGCATATGTGCAGTGCAGTAAGTTAGGCCAAAATCATTTCATTTATATATGTTATGCATAGTGGAAGGGTTAAGAGGGATAAATGAATGTGGCTTGAATCAAAGTCCAAACATTAATCGTGAATTAGTGGATGTCCAAAACTCACTCTGCAGCTTAGAATTGTAGCCTGCTTATATTCGTACAAATATTAAACAAATTGTCAAATATTTTTCAACAAGAACTCAGAATTTTTAGCAAGTCCCTGTAATAAATAGTATTTAATGTATGCCAATAATATAATCATGCCGTTTAAATAATTTGGCCATGCACTAGCTATGTCGTATCTACATTTTAAGCAATGTACAGTTATTAAAAATTACCTTACGGAATCAGGGAACAAGACACCAAAGCACATAGGGAGTATGTATGCTATAAAAAGAAGTTAAAAGAATAAGGACCAAAAAATATTCCTACAAATAAATTATACCCTTCCCCACACAACCACTAAAGGTGAAGTCTGCTCACAATATCATGATAGCTGTTCAGAGTGAAATATATGACAGGCAAGTTATTTCCAAATACTCAGAAGGCACTAAACACGAAGTTAGCTTACCTCCCTGATGCTGTTAGTAACCTGAGCACGGTGGAGGCCAACTGACGACCCAGAGAGTGGTGCCACAATTCCAGCTGGCAGCACAGGTGACAAACCAGTTGGAGGAGCCACACTCACTGCATTCTATAAATCAAAACCTAATGTTAAATTTCCATAAGTGGGGTAAACAATACATATACAACACAATGATACAATTTATACACTAAGAGCATGGGAAACTGCAAGATCCAATGCGAGGAAGTTTCTATACCCACCAAAAGCTCTCACATACATGCCTAACCCTCCTTTACATGAATTCAACAATCCCCTGTCTAATCCCCTTTTAATACATTGTACTGTACTTTACTTCCTCTGGATTGAAGCCTCCCCACCTCTTGAAAGTGATAAATGGGAAAATGTTAATGAATTTACACTGTCTTTTTAGATTTATAGTACAATTAAGGGGCTCCAAGTTGATATTTTCTATATTTTCCTCAATATTTTTTATTGTCATTAGAAAGCCTAGATTATTAGCTACATTTTGAAGTTTATTTGAAAGAAATTAGGTAACAAAGTACAGCATTTTATTTTGTAATTCCCTGTTGACTACACAAAAGCCTGGCAATAATGGCAAGCTGTTAACTAATAATTTGTTTGTTTTTTCTATGAAAACAAAAATCATTACATTGGAAAAAAAACACTGGAAAGTACATTATATACAATTGTATAATTAAAAGGGATATTGTCAAGAATTTATGACTTGTGCTTGGCAGGAAATTTAAAATACGATTTAAATTTCACTTTTAGGTTTTTCCTCAACTTCTGTTAATTTTTAACCCTGAAATTTTCACACAATGCACACATCAGCTGTCTTTACAAATGAAACCCACAATATTAAACAAAATTAACATCTTTGCTGGTTAAAAATAATTATGAAAAATTTGAATTTTTTGTCTTCAATTACAGTACTGTATAAAGAAATGACTTTGCAGTACTGAATTGTGTTTAAAATAAAATAAACCAGCACTGAATTCATTGAATGTAATGAAACATTCGGGGCTCGCCCATTTCTGGGCAAGCTCCGGCAGCTCCCTGAAGCTACTACATTGATACAGTGCCATACAACTAGGTGCCATCAGTCACAGAGTTCATATTGGCCTGCCGAGTACCACGAGCCAGAACCTGTCCCCCTCAAGAGAGGTGCAGGGAGTAGTAGCACTATGAAAACCTTTTATGTAAAGTTATTCATGTCTGCCACCACTAAGGAAAAGCACACAAAGTCAGCGAAACGAAAACTACTGCTTGGTTAGAAACGAGACCTCAGCTTCAAAACCACCAAAAGAACTCTTCCCAACAATGTAAAGAAACTATCGAAAATGTGTGAAACTAGCGCAAGCTAGTTTGCCCCACCTACCTCCCCCTCACTGGGGGGGGGGGGGGGAGGCAGGCAGGTCAGGCCACCACCAGTTATGATGATGGAAACCACTGACAACCCCCTAGGGGTGGAAAGGGGGTGGAAGGGAGCCACCGGGGCTCACCCAGAAATTGGCATTGCATTACATTCAATGCTTGTTTTATCAGGGAGGAGCCCCTTGTGGCTAACTTAAGCTTTGTACCCACAGAAAAGGTATTAAAAAAAAAAAAAAAAAAAAAAAAAAAAAAAGGCATTCACCAGGAAGGAGGCAACATCACAGGTATCATAACTAGGAAGAGACCATTGTCTGCAACACACCACCCAAATCCACTGAGGATTGGGAACATTTACCAGATACTTGGCCACCAAGACCCTGTTCGACCACCAAAACCCCGGCACACAAATATCAAACCAAAACGTTTTAACAAAAACAGCCGTCATAGCAGCATACTTGTGTATCATGGATAGACCACAGGTTGGCTAGATTCAATAACACTGCAAATAACCTGAGAAAGATGGGCCCTGGAACAGGAAACCAGAGCAACCAATAAAGAGTCTACAAAGCAAAACCGGTGGCACGAAGGTCGCAACGTAAAGCCACCAAACCAACCCTGAATCAACAAACCAAAGGACCCCTCCAGAAGCCAGCAGACTCATTCTTTGCCAGAAAAGGAGCCTGCTGCAAATGAACAAAGTGCCCACCAGGGCCAAAGCTACAAAACACCTGGCAATGAATAAGAGTATGAAGATCACAACTGTAGCCCAGAGAAAAAAAAATCCTTAAAAAAATAATCCCCTATTAAATGGGTCACCAGAAACTAAGGTGAGGAAAGAAAAGAAAGAACCCAGTCAAGGAACCAGGAAAGCTCAGATGGTGCATGAGCAGGCCGAAGGTACAACAATGCACAAGAAAGCTGGGGGCCAAAGAGGTATTTACTCCGAAAGTAACCTTGAATGGCTCCACTAACACAGCACAATAAGAGGCGACAGTATTCAGCACAAGATGCAGATCAAGAAACAACCAAGGATGGAACAACCCACTCTGAAATTAAACACCAAAGAGAGAAAAAATAGTAGAAGGAACACCAAGAGACCTCACTGTCCCTGGGAAGAAGACTGCAGGTGGGACACCATTAACCAGTGTGCTGCGCGGCCTTAATATATGACATTTCCGCTGTGCACCGAAAATAAATTCTTTGCAAAAAATTATTTTCTCTTCTTATATTGTTAAAATGCAGTCTCTGATCACGGGAAGTTAAAAAAAAAAAATTATTTGACATACATTAGCCGTGATGGAGCTGAGAAGTTGAGCAAATTATGGGCGCTGAGCGATGGAGCACTATTTTGTGAAGGAACGTGAGAAGTTCTTTCAAGATTCTTAGATGGACCAACAATGGCAGTGTGCTGTGGCTAGTGCTGTGAACATCTTGAACAGCATTGTTTTCAGAAATATCTGAACATTGTGCACAGTCTATCACAGTCAGGCTCTTCTGTAATACTATCATGGCTAAATAATACCAGTTATATATATATACTCTGACATTTTTAGGCAATACTGTGGTCACAAGTTGAACAGGAGTGCTGTTGGCTCATACTGCGCGTGCCAGCTTGGGTTGCTCACTCCGTACCGAGACTCACACCCGGGAATGTTGCCCACGATTTAAAAAAATGGCATCTGTTTACTAGAGCCCTGAGGAAGCTGGTGTGAACCCCATGTAGCCACGGGAGTTTTGAATTCTATGCTATACAGTACCTACCAGCACGCCGAGGCACTTCGCACACCCCAGATCTAACGCCTCAAGGCGCTCTGCACAGTGTGGTGGCTAAACCAGCCACCTGATCACCATACAATCCATCCTCACACAAGGCTGTTTAAAGCAGCGGCTGTCCTCCCCACATGCATTCATCAATTTTAACAATATTAAAAATTTGTTTGTTCTCATATATAAATTATCATACATAAAAATTATATGCCTAGTTAGGTGTAGGTTAGGTGTTTAGGTTATGTTGGCGATTATTTGTATTTGAAGTACGTGGGTGAAGCATTTATAGAACTGTGGCTCGAACAGAGGTCGTGAGTAAAGCACTTGTTCCGGAAGTGTTCGGACATCATCAGTTGTGAGTCGTGTGTAAACCGCTTTTCATTCATAAATAGGGGGATTGGCAGCTGGATTAACAAGCTTGGATATTTGAATGCGAGGATGGGCTGCTCCATAAAGTATCCATTTCTGATGGATACACATCAGAAACTCCAGATGCAGAGAGTGGAGAAGATCGAACTAACGAAGTATATCACCAGCCTGACCCTCTGAAAGAGGAGCAGCCGCAGAAAAATGCCTGGGTGCAAAAAATGCAAACTCTGAAGACTCAGATGACAACTCTAAGACCAGCTCCAGGGAGACAGGGACAGAAGAGAACCCCAGGTTGAGACAATGAACCACGGGGTAACAGTCCGAAAGGAGCCAAATCACCGAGCCCAGAGGTATCCAAACTCTACGCAGTGCCTGCCGTGCAGCCGCAAGCAACTGAGCCGAACTGTGTGCCTGACGAAGGTAATGAGGTCAACAACCCTGGCTAGACTGGCGAGTGCTGGTCATATAGCCACCGAGGGCCAAGGCATCCATGAACACGTCGAGTGAGGGCGGAGGAAGGCGCCAGGGAATTGAGTCCCGTAAAGCCCAAAGACAAAGCCAGCAATACTGGCACTATCTGTGTAGTAGCTTCAGGGAGCCACCGAGGCTCCCTCCATAAAAATTACTTTATTTCTAATAACCATCCTTATGTTTTAAAAGGCTACATATCAAACAAAAATCTGAAATTATTATTGCAGATTGAATAAGACTCGGGTCCCATAATTTTCACTTGCATACACTATTTTTGGTTTTATCTTATTTCATCACTACTGATATTATGATCTAATTTATGCCATTATTACTGAATACTATGAAGTGGCAACTGAATTGGCCTGACCAACATTAACGTTGCCAAACAACCAGAATTACCACTAACCGAAGTCTTGATGAACAAGTACTAGTATTAAATGAAAAGCAATTTGAAAGAAATGTTTTCTACACCATAATTCGTTTATTTTATGGTGAAAGGCACGCCTGATTCTTAACATTATATTTAGCCCCCCAAACATACACGATTTGCAGAATTTTGAAAAAAAACTCACAGGCTGTGTATGAGCAACAGGCAGGTACTCAGGCATGTTGGCAGCAATTACATCAGCTGTAAATTCCAGTCCCATGTAGTCATTAAGAGCAGGATATATTTGGGCTAACCCAGCCTGGAAATAAAAAATATTTAATAGCAGCACTAAACATTAAAATACAGAATTTATTAAAATTTGTAATAACTTTTCAAAGAATTTCACACTTCCCAAGAAGCAAATCATAAAATGAGCCGCTCCTTTCATGTACTGTACTAATTTTTTTGCATTTAATTTGAACTTAAACAACCATCATCTCTATCCCCCTTCATGGGGGTGCATTGTAGCATTAAACCAAATGGAAAAAAAATATTCAAAATAAAAATGTACAGAAATAGGATGTAACAAGAATGATATTGTTACCTTTCCTTGTGGGGGGTGAAGACCGTAGGGAGGTGGCGCCCGAGCTTCAACAGCAGAAGGGGCAGACGCAGGGCCCCCACCCTGTGAAGCCGTCATCTCACTCACCAGCTGGGCCTGAGCCTGCCAAATCCAAAGTTAAATTTACTGTATTATATATTTTAATCCTATGCTATAAGTGTCATGGTCAATGTTTGAATACCAATGTTGCATTTTTTGTATTCTCTCTCTCTTTTTCTCCATCCTCGCAAGCGGGTACAGGAGACTGACATTCTTCAGCTCCGAGTCACCCCATCGTATGATCGTAGCAATTATCTAGGCCAACAAAGATAATCTTTGTAACTACAGTATTTAGGTATTCTTTTAACTTTTGCATACAGACTTTTTACTGCTTGAGACCTGCTTGATGGGGTTCTGGGAGTTGTTCTACTCCCCAAGCTTGGCCCGAGGCCAGGCTTGACTTGTAAATATTAAAAACAGTTCAGATGAAAACTGAACAAATATTTGGTGGGTCTTAGTTCTCATCACAACATAATGCTGACATAAAGGATGGTATCCCACCACCCAGATTAAAATAAGGGTATACAATATTGTGTGATTATCTAATTACCCAAGTTAAGTTGTCTCAACTTCAACTATGCTCATTGTGTCCCACCTTCCCAGTGCTCTTTGTCATATGGATGCTTTGAAACTACTGTACTGATGGTTTTTGCATCTACCACCACCTTGCTTGTTCCAGCCGTCTACCACTGGTTGCAAAAGAGAACGTCCAAATATTTTTTCGGCACGTTCGTTTCCTTAGCTTCAGTCTATGATCTCTTGTTCTTGAAGTTTGCAGGTTTCAAGAATTCCTCTTACTTGTGTCAATTCCTTTTAATGTGTTATATGAAGTGATCATATCGCTTCTAGCCTCTCCATGTAGCTCTTATTTTTCAGTTCTGGAACTCATTTCATAGCACGTCTCTGTACCTTTTCTAGTTTACTGATGCATGTCTTGAAATATGGGCACCACACAACTGCTGCATATTCTAATTTTGGTCTTACAAATGTCAGACAGTTTCTTAATACTTCACAATCCATGTATTTTTAAGCAATTCTGAAGATGGAAAGCCATAGTATATGCACCTTACACAATATTCTTTATAATCTACTATCCAAAACTGCCCCCTAGATCTCTCAGTTTTTTATGCCTTTCCACATAATTTGTAGGTTGTGTACTGTATGGCCTATTTTCTCATATTCCATAACATAGTATTTATATACATTAAATTCCATTTACCAAGTGTTGCTCCATACACTTATTTTGTCCAGGTCATCTTAAAGAGCATATAACAATCACCTAAGTCTCTTATATTCTTTAGTAGCTTAATGCTCCAACATGTTTGTAGAGATCTGAATTCCTTCTCATAGATAATTTATAAGGACAATAACCATAACTGATGCAAGAACTGAACCCTGTGGTGCTCCACTCTCAACACTTCGCCAGCATGATAAATTGCCTCCGATTACCACCCTCATCTTTCTATCAGAAAATTTGCCATCAATGTCAGCAAACTTTCTTTGCCTTTTCTCGCTGCCATGTAATTGTTTCGTGCTCGTTTATACTGGTGGTACATTCAAGGGCTAGGCTTCTTCCTATATTCAACCCATTTGTTGTTCTCTGGCCCTCTTGCAATTTCTATTGAACCAATCCTGTTTTCTAGCTCTGATCTGTTTTGGTATACAGTATATGAATATGGCACAAAAAAATTATATCTCAAAATTTGACATACATCACATTCACTTCCTTGTCTAACAAGTCTTTCCAATTAAATGAATTAAAGAATTTGCTAAGTCCTCAACTTAGCAAATTCCTCTTTTAGGAGAGGAATTTTTTAGGAGAGGAATAGTATCCTCTCCTAAAATCAAAATTTCAATCATATACATCATAATAATTCATTGTGTCTGGGGGGACATGTACTGTATGTATAAACTGGCTGCATGTTAGGTTTATATCAAGGTCCCCCCCCCTCCCCCAAGGTTGAATTACTGACCCTTCCCAGGATGCAACCCCACATGCTGACCAACTCCTGGGGGTACCTTTTTTACTGTAAGGTGGACAGGCTTTAGGTGATAAGAAACGCACCCAACCATTTTTGTTCTGCCTAGGATTCGAACCCAAAATTCTCAATTGAGAGTCAAAAAACAACAACTACTACCAGGATCCTCCCCTAAAATAATTTCCCTTTCTTGTCTATATTATAATGCATTGCAAATTTTTTTCTTCCCAAGAAGATGTGGTCACTCTTACCCAGGAAAGGAAGGTACTGAATGTCAAACTACTACTATCCTGGAAAATATAAAATCCAATAATGATTCAACATTCCCTGCCCTAATTCTAGTGGCTTGCTTAATGTGTTGATATATGAATGTCTCTAGGATGAGGTTTGCGAGACGAGTGAGTATTCACCGTTTGTACCTGCAGGATTGAGCTGTTAGCTTGGACCTGCCTTTTCTAACAATTGGGGAGGAGAGGGGGGAAAGGGGGGGAAAGGTAGGAGAGGGGGGGGGGAAAGGGAGGAGAGGGAGGGAAAGGGAGGGAGGAGAGGGGAGGAAAGGGAGGGAGGAGAGGGGGGAAAGGGAGGGAGGAGAGGGGGGAAAGGGAGGGAGGAGAGGGGGGAAAGGGAGGGAGGGAGGAGAGGGAGGGAGGGAGGAGAGGGAGGAGAGGGGGGAAAAGGGGGGGAGAGGGGGGAAAGGGGGGGAAAGGGGAGGGGAGGGAGGAGAGGGGGGGAAAGGGAGGGAGGGAGTGAGGAGAGGGAGGAGAGGGGGGGAAAGGGAGGGAGGGAGTGAGGAGAGGGAGGAGAGGGGGGGAAAGGGAGGGAGGGAGGAGAGGGGGGGAAAGGGAGGGAGGGAGGGAGGAGAGGGGGGGAAAGGGAGGGAGGGAGGGAGGAGAGGGGGGGAAAGGGAGGGAGGGAGGGAGGGAGGGAGGAGAGGGGGGGAAAGGGAGGAGAGGGGGGGAAAGGGAGGAGAGGGGGGGAAAGGGAGGAGGGGGGGGGAAAGGGAGGAGAAGGGGGAAAGGGAGGAGAAGGGGGAAAGGGAGGGAGGGAGGGAGGAGAGGGGAAAGGGGGGGGTAGGAGGAAAAGGAGAGGGGAAAGGGGGGAAAAGAGGGGAGAGGGGGGAGGAGGAGAGGGGAAAGGGGGGGAGGAGGAGAGGGGAAAGGGGGGGAGGAGGAGAGGGGAAAGGGGGGGAGGAGGAGAGGGGAAAGGGGGGGAGGAGGAGAGGGGAAAGGGGGGGAGGATTAAAAGGAGAAGGAAAGGTGGGGAGGAGGAAAAGGAGGAGGCGGGAGGAGAAGGGGAGAAGGGGGAAGAAAGGGGAGAGGGGGAGAAGGGGGAAGAAAGGGGCGAGGGGGAGAAGGGGGAAGAAAGGGGCGAGGGGGAGAAGGGGGAAGAAAGGGGCGAGGGGGAGAAGGGGGAAGAAAGGGGCGAGGGGGAGAAGGGGGAAGAAAGGGGCGAGGGGGAGAAGGGGGAAGAAAGGGGCGAGGGGGAGAAGGGGGAAGAAAGGGGAGAGGGGGAGGAGCGGGGAGAATGAGAGGCGGGGGATAAGAAAGGGACAGGAGACAGCTAGACAGGTGGCCAGGTAGCTATTACTGGCCATTTATTTTTTGTTGTTTTCTTGTTCTTTTCCCTCAGTAAAAAGGGAAAAGTGTTGGCAAGTATAATCGCTTGCCAACACTCCCCCCCCCCCGAATGCGACAAATTGCCAATAAATTATTCAGTAACTTCCTCATAACTTATGCTGGCATGGAAGGTATCAGAGTTTGGGTGATAAGATCTCCCTGACATTGGGCAACAGGCCTTATCAAACCTGCCCCCCCCCCACCCATCACCCCTCCCTCTCAACTTCATTGTCTCTTTCTATTACAAGTGCAGCAAAGAAACTATGGCTTGTGATACTAAATAAGATCAGTCATTATCCAAGTTGAACCTTGATAATCCTAACAGGTCTCTTGTTCTCGACAATGGGAAACAGCATTTGTATGCCTATCCTCTCCACAGGTGGACACGGCTTTTATATACCCGATGCTTCCTCAAACCCAGTGCTGGTACTCTAGTTTCTTCATGATGTGCCCAGCAGTACTGCAGGCAGTGTAAATATCCTATTTCTTGCACTACATTAAACTGCCAAGTCAATATGTACATTCCCCATTTAACCTCTTTGCCTCGAATTACAAAAAGCCCTCGACTGACTAAGTCTTCAATCACTTCTAAAGCATCACTTGGTACAGTCTTAAAATACTGACTATCACTTAACACTACTCTCCATAAGGGTTTCTCTGCCCCACCACTTGCATCCCTGCCAACCACATTTTCACTAGTCTATCTTCACAATATTTTGTACAAGGGAGAGCTTTATTCTCTGGTTTATATTTAATGCCTTCCTCACTGTACGATATTACCCAATACAGTACATTATTCTCTCCTTAGAACTCTCTCAGCAGTAAATAGCAAAAACAAGTCTACAAAATAAAAATATTTCAATTGTATAAAATAGTTTCATTGCCAGGTCTGAAATTGCCATTATTTGTAATTGAATGTCTCAAAATATGTCAAAACATACTTGCAATGGCACTTGCCAAAGAATTTACAACCATTCAATTTTCCCCAGCAACTATAATAGCCAAGTCATGCACTTGAAAAATTAAAACTAGACTTTAGTTATTCATTACAATATTTATTTTAAAGTTAGGTATAAACAATAATGAACTTTTACATTCCCCACTAAATCTCAAATACCAGGCTGTCTTAGCCTAACCAATGAGGAGACTAAAGAAAAGTATTATTGTATGCACACAAAAAACTAAATACTGTATAATAAAAGAATTTGAATACTAGCAGTTACTTTTACAGTTGGCTCAACTTTAAATGAACACCTAAATGGCTCATCGTTTAAAGACTTTTTTTTTTTTTTAATTGAGAAAAAATAGATCCTAGGGTTGATGTGAAAATGTGTTGTCTTAGAGCCTGGAAATACAACCAAGACCAATGCCTTAGTGGAAGCAACCATTGCATTTATGAGTTTTATTAGCAAATAAAGCTCAAAGGCAAAAAAATACTAGACATTAGTCTAGGCTTTGCAAACTAGCCTTAATGGAATACAGTACAGTACTGGTTTACTCACTCTGCCCATCTGGTCCACCTTCATATCCTCCAAAGACGGGTACAGACTCATGGTGACCTGAAAGGGATTACATTAGTATTCTTCCTAGTTTAAGTTATAGACCAAAATCATTTTTAAGTACAAAGTCAACGATTAAAAACACACTATAATAATAAGCAGACAATAAGTCACAATAACATGCTAGAATTATACACTCAACCAGCACATCTGAAAACATAGAATGAGGCAATTTCTGTCTGTGTCATGGACCATTATCAACTCGTGTATGTAAATAAATAAATAAAATAAATGTTTATTTAGGTAAGGTCAACCCGTCCTCGACTCAAGTTCATTACATCCAGCGGTCGACCCCACAGACGCATTCATAAATTTTAATATGCTGTTCATTCAAAACGGGAATTTTCTCAAGTATAAATTAATATTATAATATATTAGCATATTGTGCATATATAGGCATAGGTTAGGTTAGGTTAGGTGTTTAGGTTCTGTTGGCGATTATTTGTATTTGTAGTACGTGGGTGAAGCATTTATAGCGTTGTGATTCGAACAAAATTCGTCAGTGAAACACTTGTTCCGGATATGTTCGAACGTCAGCAGTTGTGAGTCGTGTGTAAACAGCTTTTCATTCATAAACAGGAGGTTTGGCGGGTGCATGGAATCACTTTTGGATCTTTGTTTGGAGGACGGGCTGGTAAGGTACATACATACAAGAGATTTTACAAAGATTGATGGATTTATAGATAGAGCTAGTACATACAATGCCTAAAGCCACTATTACGCAAAGCGTTTCGGGCATAAATGGTAAAGGGTGGAAGAGCTAGTCAATTAAATGGTAAAGAGTGGAAGAGCTAGTCAATTAAATGGTAAAGAGTGGAAGAGCTAGTCAATTCAATGGTAAGAATGTGGGGTGAATGGCATGAATGATATATAACAGAAGTAACAGATGTCTAGAAAACTGCAGAATGCCTTACATCTCAGTCTTACCTTAATATTTATACTGTATAAGGTAAGACTGAGGTGTAAGACATTCTGCAGTTTTCTAGATGTCTGATACTTCCGTTATATTTTATGCCTTTCACATATTCTTACCATCTTACCGACTAGCTCTACCATTTTTTACACAACTTTATAATGGTCTAGGACTGACCAAAATGTCATCTAGTCCTTTACTTTCAGATGTGTATGTCATCAGTATATATCACAGCACAACTATTATTAACGAGTTCACAAAATAATATCTGTACTGTGTTAAATGGACTCCACAGCAGCAACTATCAAGTAAAATACTCATACAGCTTAGTATAAGAAATCTACAGCAGTTCACCTACACCTACAGTCTTTGACTGGTTCAGGAAAAATTTACTTGCATTCCCACAATGTTTAGCTATGTATTTTGAATAAAACCATATAAGCAGGCAGTCAAGCCAAATCAACCTTCAGACTCTTGCCTCAATGCAGAAAATGTCCTTGAATGACCAACTCCAATCACTTCTGAAACATTATTTGGTACAATCTTATAACATTTACATTATCGCGGCAAAACATTCTGACAATTCAGCATTATATCAAGCTATCAAGATACCTGCATTTGGGGAGAAAAAGGAGGAGCGACATTTATAGGCATCTCCCAATACATATACCAGCTGTTACCATAAAGGCATTACTGTTGTCTTGCTATCTTCAAATTCGACTTGATTTAATAGCTAACCATCATAGGATTGATACAGACAATAATAATAATAATGAATAAATTCATTGTGTTGGGGCACAGGCAGCCAGTTTATTCGTACAGTACATGTTAGGCTTATATTGAGGTCCCCCGCACCGGGTCAAATTACTGACCATACCAACGATGCAACCCCACAACCAGCTGACCAACTCCTGGGTACCTATTTACTGCTAGGTAAATAGCAGGCGGCCTGGTCAGAGATTGGGTTGTGGGGATCGTGACCCCAGGAATCAACACAAAATAACTGCAAGCTAGAGTGACAGGGGCATTTGATGATAGGAAATGCACCCAACCATTTCCTGCCCGGGATTTGAACCCAAAATTCTCACTTGTGAATCAAGAACGAACCCAACTGTACCTTACTAAAGGAACCCTCCTAATTTTAATTATGACAATTTTACCCAAACTCAGATGTATTGTTCACACTGTGTATGACAACAGACCAGGCTTCAGTGTTAGCACATTTTTGGAAAGGATGAATCATAAGTGCATGAAGAAATTACTTGCATGGCATTTCATGTTGGAAAAAGTGGTTATTATTTATAAGGCAATCAGGTACTGTAAAGTTTATAACCAAGATTACATGCTTAAGTGTAAATAGGGCTGATTATTATTACCTGAAAACTTTAACAAATTAGAAGATAATAACCCAGACCCATTCTTTAACCGGTCCAACATAACTATCACAATTGGCAACAGTTTGAAGTTCAACAAGCCACACTATATAGCAGACAACAGGAAACACTTGCACACACAGGGTAAATAAACCCATGGAGTTGTCTACCCACCAAAGCTGCAAATACCAAAGTTGAAAATACAGTTGCATAACATCCTAAAGAATGAAACCAACAATATTAAATATTTATCATGATAAAGCACTAAGCCAGTTAAACTATATGGCAACCTTTAGCACAAAACCAGCTTCCTGTCCCCATCAAGGCCACTAGATATGGTGGCCTTTGGGTAAATCTTATTTGAAAATATTGAAAACAGTTTTGCAATTGCATCCTACAGAGGCCACCTGAACAAACAAAATCAGTACTAGCCACTTCCTGTACTGAAGGACATGCTGCGTAGTGGTACTGCCTTTCACTTCAAAGTTAGCAATTTAGCTCCCTAACCCCAAAAAGTGTTATGAACGTCACGTTTATATGAAATGAGCTTAACATGCATTAGTGTAGTCGAGTTACATACAAGTTACATACAAATTACAGACAGGCCTTACATACATCAGTACTTAGGCTTACTGAGTTCCCCCTAGGCCAGCTAATGACCTCCTCCGGGATGCAACCCATAAAAACTGCCCAATTCCCAGGTACCTGTTTTAATCATAGGTGAACAGTGGCATCAGGTGAAAGAAAACAAGATCACTCATTTCTGTCCTGGCTTGGGAGTGAATCCTGTTCCATTGGTTGCGAGCCAAGGAGGAAGACTAATTTATACGTTAGGTTAGCCTGGATAAGGTTATGTTGCATCAAGTGGGTTTAAAAAATCTGTTCGTGAACAGACTTGTGTACTCACCTAGTTTGACTTGCAGGGGTTGAGCTTTAGCTCTTTGGTCCTGCCTCTCAACTGTCAATCAACTGGTGTACAGATTCTGGAGCCTATTAGGCTATCAAATCTACATTTGAAACTGTGTATGGAGTCTGCCTCCACCAAATCACTGCCTAAAGCATTCCAATTGTTAACTACATTGACACTGAAATCATTCTTTCTAATGTCTATGGCTCATTTGGGTACCAAGTTTCCACCTGTGTCCCCTTGTTCGTGTTCCACCCATGTTAAATTTTTTATCTTTGTCCACCCTGTCAATACCCTGCCCTGTGCATGAAAGTTCACAATGAAAGGACCCGCGTGCGTGCGTGTGTGTGCGTGTCATATCTATGTATGAAAGGACCCGTGTGTGGTAGCACAGTACATTACGCAATTGTCCAAGTTCCTGACATGCTGTCCCATTTTCTGCTTTGGGTCCTCTGGTAGGTTACGAGAGGACATTTTAGTATGGCAGTTTCTTGATGTTGGGAAACCTTAGGACGAGCTGGATTACAGGCAAATTCAGGATGTGCACATCACTAAAGACCCATAGGGTTCAGCCAGAAACTGGATAGGTGACTAAACAACCTTGTCTTGGGGGTTCTTGATAAGTTTTCCAAGCTGCCTGTCCCTGGCAATATAAATTAGATCTGCCTGGCATGTGCCAATAGATAATGTTTCTTTTAAGTTCATTGTCGGGGGGAAAGGCAGGCAGTCAATTTATACATACAGTATATATTATGCTTATATCGAGGTCCCCCACCAAGAGTCGATTTACTGAACCACCCTTATGATGCAACCCCACAGCAAGACGACTAACCCCTGGGTACCTATGGATGGAAGGCACGAGGTGACAGGAAACGCACCCAATCATTTGCCCGAAATGCTATGAGTATTAGTGGCTTTAGGTATTGCATGTACAAGCTCTATCTATAACTCCAACATTACATTTGTAACTTCATCTATGTATGTATTCTTACCTGAATACAAATTTGAATTTGAATTATGTGCCTCCCAGGATTTGAACTCTGAATTCTCAATTACGAATCGAGAACAAATCAGACTATACTACCGAGACCCCTCGAATTTTATTCCATATAATGTACTCCATGACACGTAATCCATAGGTCCTCACACACACTCACTTACCTGAAGTAAGTAAAACTGTAGACTAGGATTATTGCCGGGCAGGCGAGCACAATACACGTCCCAAACGTCAACACCAACACAAGTCACACACTGTTCAACCAATTGTTAATCCACCTCGAAAGCTTGCAGACAAGGCACAAGAGACACACCTTCCTCAGCACTCACTACTGGCACTGACTAAGCCACAAGGAGGCATCACATGATCCTGACAACTCCTGGGAGTAAAATCACTGCCTTATCGCCCCCCTACCCCACAAGCCCTCGCTACCCACTCCTGACCCCATACCTGGCACTCCTCCCTTATTATGGCAGCTGCCGGTGGCTCCTTCAGAGCTCATTGTCACCAGCTGTGACTAGCCAGGTGTCAAACCCACCTTTTTTCGGTTTGGAGGCGACTCCTGTGAAGTGTAAGGTGCCGATGACTGCCAGGAGAGCTATGATCCTCAGCTTTTGTTTATCCAGGGCCATCCTCCTATGAAAATATCTGTGACGTCATCATACGGGACCTTGGACTTGAGCTGTGACTAAATCTCACGTACTTGGAATATATATATTTTTTAAAGACTGACATCAAAAGGAATATGCCATTAATATATTATGTATATTATTTATACTTTTTATACGTTAAATACGAAGCTTGTACATTCGTAGAAAGTGCTAAAAAGGATTCCCAAAACATGAGAATTAGGGTGTGCGCCCGCATGGAGTGACCGGGAATTTCGAGAATTCTCGGAGCCGCGGTGACTCACAGTCACGGGGGTCCGTGACGTCACTGTTACTGGCTTGTGACGTCACATTTGCTTCCGATTGTCAGGTACAGGAAGCCTGTTTAGGCTTCTCGAGGCCAACTATACTGATCTTTTCCAGGATGCGAACCCACAACAATGAATGGTCTAACTCCCGGGCTAACCTATCTACTGTACAGTCGAGGTGAGGTAACTAGGATAAAGTGCTTAGCCAGTGGAAAGGTCGTGTAGCGAGTATATTATATTAATAATATACAGTACTCGCTACAGTCGAAACGTTCCCCCAACGCCTCTGTCCTGTCTGGGGAATCATTTTTGGTACCTTCCGTGTGTGACCCAATAGTGTCGACCACTGCGCCACAGAGTGCCAAACGTCATCACTGTTGACTCGACTCGTCACTTCCCAGTGGGAAAGTTTTTATTTGTATTTTTGTATTATTATTTTCTGCCACAGACGTGGCCGTATGATTTATTGAACAATCAACCATGCGCAGAAGGTGATTGTAGTGCTTTTAAAATGCTAATCTTACTTGCATAGATTAGATTTTTATGTCCTGTTTATGTCGTAGAGATTGTTTTGTGTTGATTTAGGAGCGACGACGATCGTGGGATCGGATGCGCCCCGGCTGCCCGATACCGGGAAATAGCGGAGGGATGGGGTCCCTATAGTCTCTTCAGGCCATAGACCCTATCAGGCCACAAATTTTACAGTCTCTTCAGGCCACGGACATGACGGATGAAGCGGAAGGTATGGCGAAGGATGTCATGACGGACGTCTTCGTCTCTCGCACCTGCCCCGTCAAGGAGAACGGGAACTATGAGGCGGGGAATATTCAGCCTACGAACGGCACTCTGTAGTCTGATGCGAGCGCTATGAAATCGAGGGCAGTGAAGAAGAAGGTGCTCCACTGTATCCTCCTGGGTCGGACACCACTGGCAGTATGGGGAATCAACCAGCCATAGACGATGGAGATGTGTGGCCAGGCAGGTGTGCCCAATCCGGAAACGAGTGATGGCAGTGTCGAGGAGTCGAGAATGATGACGAGTCCATGGACGCGGGGAGGAGTCCTCCCGGAGACCCGCCAGAGAGGAGGACCTGAGTGCTGGCTCCATCATTGCCTCCCAACTCGCGAGGCAAGCCGTCCGGAGTTGCGGGAGAATTTCGGAAAGGTCTAGAGGCACATTTGTAGAGTCCTGGAGAGCATGCGCCATCCCATCCTGAGAAGGAGCAGCAACGACACGGGTACCAAGACGGGTTGGGTTAAAGGTAACAGAGGCATCTACTGAATCTACAAGATGCCTATGAAGGGAAAAATCTTCAGGAGGAGCTGAATCCAAAGGATAGAGGTCAAAGTACTTAGTCCACGTAGAAGGACCAAACAAAGCATGGTATGAATGAGTATGGGAAGGGAGCATATGAGAGCGGGTCCATAGAATTACCCCAATCATCCCAAATCAGGCCAAAACTACCCAAAACGTATTAGCATTACGTAAGTAATGAAGAAATATGGTATATTTACTTACTATAATGTTGGTGCTACACGTAGAACATGATCAAACCTATTTTTTCTCTGAAATAATCTAATTTCATAACGAAATGAGACGTAAATATGTGAGAGGTGACGCCATAGGAAGTCGACGGTCCAAGCGACAATTGTGTGGAGCGACTTATCCAAGAAATATGGTCGTCAGGAGAGTGTTTGCTGCCATATCAGCCTCCTGTACACAGTGATCCAGTCCTTTTCGTTCATTGAACACCGAACCCTACACGCCCTCTGATATATTGCTTAATTAACAAATATTCACAAATAAAGATTATATTTGTATATGTTATCAGAAAGGCAGATATAAAATAGTTTTTGTGAATCCATCACAGAGATTATACCTTATTAGAGAGGAAAAATATTCATACTTTAAACAAGGCTTCATGGCCGACGCTCTCCTTACCGATATGGGAACTATGACCTTCCGAAGATCAATGTTAATTTAATCTAGATATTGTAATAAACGAAGTTTTCTATGTCATCATAAAGACATAAATATAAGCTGCATGTTAATACTTTGGCATAAATATAACTGAATTGAAAGTTAAGATATATGCCTTTTTATAGTTACTTGATGGCTCGCTCAGGGAGTGTGAAGGCCTCCACACAAGCCAATCAATTTTATAATTACTTTGCATATATGCAAAGTAACGCCATAGGTCTTTATGTCAGAATAAAGCCATGTAGACGATAATGTAACTACATTTCAAGGAAAACATATCTTAATATAATTATTAAATGAATGCAAAGTTATGGTTAAATAAATAGCCAATACCACACAATCGCCGGTGTCCGGACACATGAATAGTCGCATTAGGTGAAAGGAAATGTACCCAACCATTTCCATTTACCCAACCAGTTTGTGCACCCTATACTCATCCTCTGTGCGGTAATTTATTGTGCATCCCATACTCATCTTGTTACCAGTAGTTTGTGCAACCCATACTCATCCTGTGACCCGTAATTTATTGTGCATCCCATACTCATCCTGTTACCGGTAGTTTGTGCAGCCCATACCCATCCTGTGACCTGTAATTTATTGTGCAACCCATACTTATCCTGTGACCTGTAGTTTATTGTGCAGCTAATACTCATTCTGTGAGTCATAGGACATTGCGAAACCCTTTCTCATCGTGTGAATCTTTGTTTACTTTGCTCTCCATATTCATCCTCTGCGCGATAGTTTCTTGTGCAACCCATACCCATGATGTGAGTGGTAGTTTATTGTGTACCCTATATTCATCCTGTGAGTATAGGGTTCACAATTCTTGTTTGGATTCTTGTAATGTTATTTGTCTATTTGTAGTCACAGTATTTGTGCGCCCCTTGAGGGACTTGAATTAGAGGGGGGTTGAAATAGCCTAAGCTACTCTATCCCTTTGAGATTTATTTATTGCTTATCTCAATAAACATACTTGAACTTGAACTTGGGTACACAATGAGTTCATTTGTACTCCATACTCATCATCAAGAAGTGTATTTTACCAGCATTGTAATATAAATTAAGAATAAAAGCTTAACTGGATTACAGACCCATAATCAAAATAAGAGTCATCACTAATTATCATGACAAATTCTCTAGGCTACACTTCCGCCTTCGACAAGCTGCCGCCGGATGTGGGTATAGTTTATTGTACACCCCCGCACCCCCAGTCCTGGAAGGGCGGGCATTGGGATGTGGACATGTGTACCATTTCCCCCCCCCCCCCCACACACACACACTCGATCCTCTCCTGTTAATAATAATACTAATAATAATAAAAATTAAAAATAATAACGTTAATAAATATTATAATTAAAACACTTACTGTAATACCCTAGTGCTTGAATGAAGGTGAAGGAAAGACCCAATAAATGTGTAAGTGTATTAAAAACCAAATTTTCGTTGGGTGAGCTGGCAGGTGAGCACCACTTGCCAGCTCACCCAGTAATGAACATCACCTGCACACTGCACCGAACCACTTGCCAGCAGGTGCAGAAGTACGATGGAGAGAGCAAAGTATACCATATTTCAAGTATAATATTAAAGATATATTTAGGATTTAATGTTTTCGTATAAAGTTTCAATAATACCTTTATTTGATTTTTTTGTATTATTTTCTACCACAGACGTGGCCACACATTAACAATGCTAACCATCATATATACATTTTCTTCAGTCCGCCATGGACTCTAACCCTTTCCACTACCGCCCACAAGATGGGTATAGGGTGCATAATATAAGAACTAAACTAACTCCATTGATAGGGTTAGAGATTTGTTAAACATATAGTTCAGGGATTTATTGAACAATCAACCACATAAGGTGATTGTAGTGTTTTTAAAATGCTAGGCTAAGCTACATACGTAAATACATAAATACACAGATTTACGTATGCCCTACATAAAGTGTTCGATGTGTCTTTTACATAGTGTCATTAACGTGCATTTACAAAGGTGAAATTGAATTCTGAACACATACATACACATATATTTGTCTCTTTTACTCTGACAAGGTGAGATAACTGATAGAGAAACTAGTGTGCAATTAAGCACTTAATCACTGAAGGTGATTAAGGTGCTTTCACAAGCTCAGGTTATAGAGTTACATCACATACATTCATTGTATAATTGATACGTTACATCGTCAATCTAGGGTACAAGTTCAATATATCATCAAGTGTTCCAGTACTCAAATAGTAATTACACAGTTTAGCATAGCGCTTCATTCATGTATGTAAGAGAGAAGATTGTTCAAATATATTACATGCACATCCGGTACATCGTCCACCTTCTTCTACAGAACCGTCGGTATACCACTGATACACATCGTTACCCATATTCTGAGTACTTTCAGTGATGCTTCACAGTGTTAACTGTTTTAATAATGTAGAGTGTACATTATCTTTCTTGGGTGCATTTACAAAATCAACTGCTAGATCCAAGTTATCC